CAACCTGGGATCGTGCGTGGTCGGTACCTCGACGCGGCAGCGCGCGCGGGTGCTGTGGCTGCACCTCGGGTGCGTCATCGACCTCTTCCCCGGCCCCGGCCTCTGACGGCGGCAGCAGGGGGCGCGGGTGCTTGGTCCTCTCGTGTAGCACGTGTCCTCACCATCTGTGAGAGAATAGAAGACAGAAGTTTAGAATTGATGTCAAAAATATCGCACGACAAGGAATCCAATGAAGTGAAGATTTTTTTTCCTAAACAGTTACATAGCCTCTCGTAGATAAATACAGACGTCTCCGTACCGATCAGCGAGACTCTAATAAACCGGCCTGTGTTCCGTGACTCCTATGAACCTAGAGCTCTGATACCAACTTGTCACGACCCTAGTTCACCAATTGTGAACACGTCATGACGGCACCTAGTCTTCACGACTAGGTAAGCCTAACACATTGCGGAAGTAACAACATTTGCGAAATTTATATTCGAAGCTAAATAACATGAGTAATGTATACAGTTGCCGCCTGGCACATACACTTTAATACAAAATACTGAAATAACCTCCAAGACCCGGAAACCCACGAGCAACACAGGCTATAAGAAATCTTACACTGCTCTAGTCACCAGAATAGTCTAATACAAAGAGGGATCGAAATAACATCTAACAACTATGGATAAAATGAGAAGGAGACTTTGCGGATCTGCGGACGTAGCAGATGTATACCTCAAGTCCCCAATACGCTCCCTGACAGCTACTGGCGGTACGCCTGCTCAGAAGCACCTGGATCTGCACATGAAAAACATGCGCAGAAGAGGCGTGAGTACACCACAGCGGTACTCAGTAAGTGCCAAGCCTAACCTCGGTTGGGTAGTGACGAGGAAAAGGTCAGGGCCCTACTGAGACAGAACAATAAAATAGCAAGATATTAACAGTATTGAAGTCTGAAGAAAACTAATGAACACAGCGATGTGATAAGACAGATCAATGAAATATAGTACTGCAAGACAAAACAGAAACACAGAGTAAATACAGCAAAATTACAAGAATACCGACGAGGGTCTCCCAGGATACCGTCCTGTAGCCCTTTTCTCAACTGTCCAATGGAACTTCCGGGATACCGTCCCGTAGTCCAAATCTCATATCAATATCAAAAGATCTCCCGGGATATCGTCCCGTAATCCAATCATCAGTGTGCAGGGGGATCTCCCGGGATACCGTCCCGTAGTCCCAAAATAAAAGTGCAGGGGATCTCCCGGGATACCGTCCCGTAGTCCCAAAATAAATGCGCAACCAACATCAATGAATTATTCAGAAATTTAAGTACAACAATACAAGGCATCAAATAATACCGGCCTAACATGCTCCACGTAATCACAGTTAAGACAATTTAAACAAATAGGCAGCTTGGATCAATTAAACATGCTCTTCTATGCTAGCACAGACTATAAAAGCAAGTAAAGTAAGGCAAATATGAAAAAGAATCCAAATCAAGTATTTAAGTAAAAATCCGGGTTTCAACAATTTGCTCAAGTACGCGCTCGTCACTTCACGTACAAGGCATTCAATTACCAATTATCACATCCTAAGGGACGAAGTCCCCCACACAAGGTTAGGCAAGCCACTTACCTCGAACCGGCCCTTGCCACGAGTATCCGACTCCAAATGGCCCAAATCTATTCAATTCAATTGCAAATCGTAAATAATATTGCAAACAACTGATTCCACTATTGAAATTAAAGCTAAGGCGCGAAAATAGGTAAAATGACCAAAACACCCCTCAGGCCAACGTCTCGGAACCGAATAATTTTCACATTTTCAGAAACCTCGTACTCTCGAGTCTAACCATATAAAAATCTCAGAAATCGGAGGTCGAATGCCCCCTCAAAACCCAATAGTTTAGTCAATGAACTTTAACCCAAATTCTTCCATTTTTGATCCTTAATTCGAATTTAAAAGGTGGAGTTAACTACTAAATGATAGAATATAATTAGAAAGGATCATAGAAATGTTACCCAATAATCTCCTCTCCAAAATCCTCTCAGAATCGTCCTTGCCCGAGCTCAAAATTGATTTTCAAACTTATGAGATTAAATCCTCGAAATTTCCTATTTCTGCCCAGACATTTCCGCTTCTGCGGACAAGGGACCGCTTCTGCGGTCCCGCTTAAGCGGCAAAATAACCGCTTCTGCGGTTTCTCATTAAAGGGGGAAATTCCGCTTTTGCGGACATATGACCGCTCCAGCGGTTCCGCTTCTGCGGAAAGATGACCGCTTCTGCGGTCTCTGAGGGGAAGCCAAAAAAATCGCTTCTGCGATGAGGAAGCCGCTTCTGCGGTTCCCAAACCGCAGAAGCGAAAATACCAGAAAGGAAAACATACCAGCTGCAACAACTTAGAAAATTTCCCCGTTAACCACCCGAAATCATCCCGAGGCCCCCGGGGCCTCAACCAAAAGCACCAATACCACCTAATACCTTATTCGAACTTGCACCAATCCTCAAAACACCTCAAACAACACCGGAAACCCGATTAAATCAAGGATCCAAGCCTAAGAACTTCAAATTCTAACCGAATACGCTTTCGATCAAAAACCTAACCAAACCTCGTCCGAACGACCTGAAATTTTGCACACACATCCCAAATGACATGACGGAACTACTGCAACTTCCGGAATTCAAATCCAACCCTCGGATCAAAAACTCACTATCGGACCGGAAACTTCAAAAATCCAAACTTCGGCATTTCAAGCCTAAATGAGCTACGGACCTCCAAATAACATTCCGAACACGCTCCCAACCCCGAAATCACCTAACGGAGCTAACGGAACCATCGGATTTCCATTCCGAGGTCGTCTTCACACTGTTCCGAATACGGACCATTTTTCAACTCTTAAACTCTCATTTAGGGACTAAGTGTCCCAGAACGCTCCGAATCCTAATATCGAACGTCCCGACAAACCAAAATAGCATAAATGAACTTAGGGAAAGCAGTTAATGGGGGATCGGGGCGTAAATTCCAAAAACGACCGGCCAGGTCGTTACAGGTATCCTTGGTTACATCCCCATGTCAACTACACTCATACCCATTAAGGGAAGTCGTAGACATTTTAAATCAGTTACTACTATTATTCAATACTTCTCATATTTATTGAACAGTCTCATAAATGGTTACTTGTTACTAGTTTCCCTTGTGTTGGTGTACTTGGATGTTTACTTTGTTGTTTGTTGTCGATTCCAGACTAATTTATAAGCTAGAATTGAGGTATGCTATATTGGCCAGGATTTTCAGACAATTGCTTGTGTAACTTGTCAGAGTATATGCAAGAATGTTTCATCATAGGTGTAGCCTTCTTCTTTCTTGGGAACTAAATCACAGAGAAAAGATTTTGCTTACTGCTACTGCATTAATATTTGTAGGCTTTCCAAGTCTTTCTAATGCTAGATCTTTGGAAGAATATTGAGCATACGCTTAAAAAGATCTTTTGTCTCTTATTTATTCAATCTATTACTCCAGTGGTTTCCTCTTTCCTTTTTTGAGCTGGAAACTTGAGGTCCCACTCCTAATTTAAGGCTTTTAGAGATCTTTGCTTCATTGGGGACTTATGCTAATGACTTGGTATAGATTTGAGGGCCTAAGAGGTTGTACTCCTCCTGGTGCATTATGTGCAGGCAAATCAGTGAGTCTCATTCATTGTTATCATATTAAGTTATTGAAGGTTTGTTTCTTAAAGGAAGAATTAAGAACTATGCATCAATTCCTAGCTCTTAATGGACTGGAAAAATATGCGTCCTCAGAGCTAGGTTGAATGACCACTCTCTCTTGTATATCAAAATTTTCAACTTAGCTGGATATTTCAGGCTTTTTTGTTTTCGTTAGCAATTATCTGCTTTAATTAACCTTTTGCATGTAAAGAACCAAGATGCACCAGAAGTTGCTCTTATCATGAACATCACTTTCTCTGTTCACATGACTTGGACTCTTCGCTTGAACTTAACTTTAATTTTGAAGGTTTGCGGGCCTTGGAGCTGGTCTTGCTTGGGGTACACTTCAAGAATCTGCCAAGAGGCTTGTTTTTGGTACACCAAACTTGCAAGGGAATCAATCGGCTCTATCCCCCTATCTATCTGAGAAAAATGCAGAACGTCTCGCTCTTGCATTATGTAGAATGCGTGGAGCAGCTTTAAAATTGGGGCAGATGTTGAGCATCCAAGATGAATCTGTGGTTCCAGCTCCGGTAAATATTTTGAGTTCCAAAATACGCCTTGGAGTTATTTTCCCTTGCCTTGTACTCCCTCCATTGCATTTTGGCATGTCATAGTTTTAAATGCAGATGGATTTTGAAATTTTAATTTGATTTATATATTATACTTGTATATTAGAAGAAACTACTAAAGTAATAGTTAAAAAGCTGATCTGATAGTGTAAACATCACATCGAAATATTAATCTGAATTGTTTAATATATTTAAATTTAAATTCTTGGAAGATGTGAAAATTATATGAACATGTTTATTTGGAGGGAGTAGTTCTTTTTGATAAGTAAACTTATATTGACAAAAGGTCACCAGTTCTATATACAATATGTACTCAAGTGAGCACCATACAAGACTGTTAATTTCCAAGAGCCTAGTCCAATTACCTATACAGTTGAACATCTTAATCTCCTCCAAATATATACAAAGAAAAAGAAGCTAGATATTCTTGATATTGAATGAATTCATTCTCTTTGCCCTGAAGAGCTCAAGTATTAGTCTCTTATGGTGATACCTGATTGTCCAAAGTGCTCCAGAACAAATGATTATGCTTGCTCTGCTCTTCCTTCGCCCGTATATGAAATTCCAGGTTTTTTTTTCTGGAAATGGTAAAGTTTATTAAAAGCAGCACAAAAATTATGCTGGAAATCTTCACAACATAGCAAAAGTATAAAGCAAAAATCGGACCTTCCTAACATGTAGGGATTCTAAAAGCTCTAAAACAGATTCACCTTCATTTACAAGTTCCAATCTACACCAAAAGTAAAACAAGAATATAATTTAGCTTTGATCTTTAAAGTGGAACTGTAGCTACCTCATAACACCTCTTATTCCTCTCTTTCCAAACAGTCCACCAGATGCGGGCTGGTATTGTGTTCCAACTCTTTTTCCTAGTCCTGTTTGTACCAACAGTGCTCCAACTTAAGAAAAACCAGCCGTATCACCAGGCATGGTCCATTTAATACACAAACAGTTCCAAAACAGCTGCCAAATCTGATCAGTAACTGGACAGTGAAAAAAAAAAAGATGACTATGGTTTCTGCCTTTGTTCCACACAGGTAACACCTACTGCAAAGTATGAATCCTCTTTTTTTCAAATTATCCTGGGTTAAGGCTACCTCTTTAGCAATTAACCATGTAAAATAAGATACTTTACATGGAGTTTCAGACCTCCATATTTGTTTCCATGGCCATGACCTGATCTGTTGCTTTTTTCTCTTAGCACTCTGTAATATGACTTGATTAATCTCCTTATCACCCCAAAAAAAAACTGTATTATGACTTGACAGTGTATAGGCATCCACTTTGTTCCTTCCATTTCAGTCTATCCTCCTCATTGGAGAACCCCCTGAGGCTTCAATTGCACATATACCACCAACTTTTATAGAGTCATCGTCTTTTGCACAAGCTTTTCATATATAGTAAATTAGATTTCATGCCCTTAAAGAAAGAAAGAATTTCCATTGCTACTTCCATAATCCAAATTATTTTATGTTAAAGCTTAACACGTCCTTTTCATTAAGACCTGGTAGAAGGATTTAGCTTTGAACATACCATTTGTTTGCTTGCCTTGTAACTTGTTTACAGTTCTTCTGAATGGGCCAATGTGTTTATAATTGTGCCAGTTTCATTTTAATAGACAACTGGTGTTTAGGAATTGCAGTTATCGGTTAAAGGAGAGTATGGACTAACCTTTTTTGATAAAAGCTACTCCCTCCGTTCCAATTTATGTGAACCTGTTTGACTGAGCACGTAGTTTAAGGAAAAATGAAGACTTTTGGAATTTGTGGTCCTAAATAAGTCAAAAAGGGCCCTAGAGTATTTATGTGGTTGTAAAAGCTTCTCATTAAGGATAGAATTGTAAGTTTAAGCTAAATTGTTACCAAATTTAGAAAGGATTCAGTCTTTATGGAACGGACCAAAAAGGAAATAGGTTCACATAAACTGAAACAGAGGGAGTACTATATTATAACAGACAATAAGATAGTGCAGAGAAGAATGTACAAAGGGATACCAGATATCATAAGCAAAGATAGAGGCCCAAAAAATGGCCCTAGCCTATTCCAGTAGGGAACCTATGATATGTAAAATGGATTCAGTATCATTTTCATAAACTTCTTTACACCAAAAAGCAAAATTTAGCTAACAATTTGATTTGATCTTGCGCATAGGAGAGTATGGACTATTAGGTGATACTTCATCAAATGGCACGGTTTCCAGAATATGTCTTGCACGTAATGCCATTTAGGTCAAAAAGATTTTTGGTGTCTCCTGGTCTGCAAACGGACACATAATAGGAACCAGTAAAGCTACTTTGTTTTGATTATAATTATCAGAGAGCCTTCCCCTGTATTTATAAAAATTACATTTACCTATCCTACTATGTTAACTCATAATCATTATTTTGTGAACTGGTGAGGAAAATAAGATGCCAGTAGTTACCAAAGTGGTAAAATTTGAGAGTTAGTTTGATGTGAGTTTAATTTTCTTTCAAAATGTCCTTTTTCTCTTTCCTTTTTTTTTTGGGGGGGGGGGGGGGGGTTGGGGGGTTGGGGGGGGGTAATGGCAGTGGTCATGGTTGAGAGGGAGAATTTTAACATTATCCTCTCAAAAGTAAAAGAGAATATAAAGTTTAATGTTGTTAGAATTACAATTTAGTGTAAAGTGTGAGAAAGACCCTCTGTCTTTTTCTTTTTCTGTTTTACTTACCCTATGCAAGGGATCTATCCACTTTTGACGAGGTTGTGGCTTTCCACCCATTGATTTTTAACAACTTTGCTTCTGGTATGAATTCTCTCATATGCTTGTAGATCTTAGCTGCTTTGGACATTGTCCGTCAAGGTGCAGATGTTATGCCGAGGAGTCAGCTTAATCAAGTGTTGGGCAGTGAATTAGGTCAAGATTGGTCATCGAAGTTGAAGAGTTTTGATTATGAGCCGATGGCAGCAGCAAGTATTGGACAGGTGATCTAGTTTTAACTAAACCACCATTTTGTTCTCTTGTTTCTTAGTTGCGCTTCGAGCTACTTTATACTGCAAACACGCTTACTATCATCTTGCTAGTATGAAATGTCCCCATTATCCTCATAATGTTTTCCACCCTCCTCGATATGTCCTCCATAAAATTCATTTAGAAAAATACTGGTAAACTCGTTGTGTTTCTTCAGTCTAGGATTAGCAACAGTCGAGTAATTTTTGTGTTAACTTAGTCTTTGTCTAGTTTAATTGCAATTAAATTTTTGTAATATACTAAATAATATAATCAGTTTTAACTTTGCTTTTAAATCCTTAAAATCCATAAGATCCAGTTTCAGCAATATTTTTATTTTTGTGTAAGAACATCTTAAAGTGCTATGTCTACTTCTAGCTTTCTCGATATAAGGGAAAAGTTTGTTGTTATCTTGAAAGTGTTGGATTTCCATTTGTATGAGTGACCAAATCTTCCAAACTCACACATGTCATTTGTACCATTGAGATTAGACTTGTTTATCTAAGACATTATTGAACAACAGCAACATACCCAGTATAGTCCCACAAGTGGGGTCTCGGAAGGGTAATATGTACGCAGACCTTACCCTTACCCTATGAAGGTAGAGAGGTTGTTTCCGGAGACCCTCGGCTAAAAATTAGAGTAGGCAAAGTAATAATAGGATAAATGACACTGCCGGTAAATAAATGAAATATTTTGGAGTTACCACTCTCATTTTGATGAAAAAACAAGGAACTGTTTTAATGCTTAAAGAGTGGAATTGATATAGAGCATTCATACAACCGTCCCAATTAGTTTGGGATTTGAGGTATAGTTGTTGATATTGCATTTTTTAATTTGTACGGTTCTTATACCCACCAAAATACTTTAATTTGTTTTATTTACTATTTAGAATCAATTGAACACCGTTAGCTTCTTCTTTTGCCAACATAAAATTTCTTAAGACATAAAAGCACGGACTCCCGAATCCCTTTTCCAAAGCTCTGAGGACTTAGGGAATCCGTAATTACATAACACTGACAAATTCATGATCTAGCAGTATTGCATTCTCAATAAATGAATGGCCGTTTCATTGCATAAAAGAGAATGGTATTTGATGCTTTTGCTTGAAGGTTTTATTCTTTATACAAAATGTTTAGTTATCTAAGATTTTGCCTAGTTATTTGCAGATTTAGCCACATACTTACTACTTCTAAACAATTTCCAGGTCCATCGGGCTGTCACAAAGGACGGCATGGATGTTGCTATGAAAATACAGTACCCAGGTGTTGCTGATAGCATTGAGAGTGATATTGATAATGTGAAACTTCTATTAGGTTACACAAATCTAATACCAGAAGGGCTGTACCTTGAAAATGCTATGAAGGTAAACTTATTCGTGTATTTACATACCAATCCCTGTATTTGATATTTCACCCGTGGTTCTTACAATTTAGAAGAAGTGTAAGCTAATTGACCTATTTCTGTGGTTCTAGTAGCCTTAATGAGCTGGACCTTGAAAATGTTTTGAAGGTAAGTTTATCTGTTTATCAGTAGAAATTCTTGCGTTTGACATGTCACCTGCAGTTCTTAGAGTTTAACTTATTGTTCACTTGAGTTGAAAGAGGAGGATAGAGTGGAAGTTTAAGAGGATGGTAACATCTATTTGACTTGTTTGTGAAGTATAAGTATGGGAATCAAAATTAAAGCGGATATTCCATTCCATTTCAGCTCAAGACCAGTCTGAAAGTTGATGGAGAAGAAGTGACTGACTTTCATTTCCCTTTCTTGTCCAATTAACAACTAAAGGTAGCTGATGAATGCTCACTAAGGGTAGTGAAAATCCACCTTCCCTTCCCCTTTAGGTTATACTGTTAAGTAGCTTAAAGTGGAGGTACTTTCTCGTACAATGCTACTTCTCTTGATGAAATTTCACCGTTCGAAGTGCAATTTGGTTTCCAGTTCACATTTGGGAAACAGCACCCTCGTTGCTCCAGAGACACTTATTTGACAACGATCATGGCTCCTTGCTTTATGGTGCAACTTTAATGAAATAGATGTGTTTTATTCTTCAACCTCAGGTGGCCAAAGAAGAACTCTCTCGTGAATGCGACTATGAGCTGGAAGCGAAGAGTCAAAAAAGATTTGGCATTCTATTATCTGGCGCGAAGGGATTCTATGTTCCAGTGGTCATAGATGATTTGTCAAGTAAACGAGTACTGACTTCAGAACTTGTCCCTGGTAACTGCTTTAAATCTAGCATTTCCAACATTTGAAAACACCAAAAATTTAATGTTATGGTTGGTTCCTTTCATCAGCTGATGTATTTGGCGTCAGGTTCGTTGGGATTATTTGAAGTTGATTTTTGTTATTGATAACTTCTATGAATATTTTTGTAGGAATTCCAATTGACAAGGTGGCGTTACTGGATCAAGAGACTCGAAACTACGTCGGAAGGAAATTGCTCGAGCTTACTCTGATGGAGTTGTTTGTTTTTCGTTTCATGCAGGTAAATTGTTAATTTCTATACAATATTTCTATCCTGTTAGTGCTACATAAGATCTAAGGGTTCAATTTCCTTGTTGTATATTCCGTCAAGTGATATAATCCTTCCATTCTTCGGTAAGAAAGGTTGCTGAGAGAATGGTCCAGGGAAGTCCCTGTAGGCCCTGCACGGGCTTGACGTTTTTCATATTACTCCCTGGTTATGATTTCTTTCTCATTGTACATTACTTGACATATATAACCATGCCATGCTACACTAAACATGGTGCTGAGAGAGCAGCCTACTGAGCCAGGGTGCAAGGCCATGCATGGCCTCACATCTATGTTGCTCGTACTCTTAAAAAATCCTGCCGGTTAGGTGTCGGATCCTCCAAAAGTATGTGCGTTTTTGGAGGATCAGACACCCCCTATCTCAACCCACATCACCCCCTATCTCAACCCACATGGTTCCCATTCAACTGCAAGCTTTAGAAGCACACTGGGAAACTTTCCCTCAATAATTTAAACTTTTCTTTCTCAATGGTTTGCGAAATTATAATTATCTTCGCTCACTGTTACGATTATACTAAGTTCTTTTTATAACTACAATTATTCTGAAATTTAGAAGCTGTCCTTTTTCTTTTCCCTAACATTGACTTGTTTAGAGCAGACCGATCCTAATTGGAGCAATTTCCTCTATGATGAGTCTGAAAGAATAATCAATCTCATTGACTTTGGAGCAGCTCGGGACTACCCCAAACCTTTTGTGGATGATTATTTGAGAATGGTAAGATGTCTTTGCTTACTTGAATTGCGCTGGAGTTTATTGTTCTTCTGTATGCAAGTTATAGTAATTTTTCACTGGACCTAGCTCAAAGGGAAGTTTGAAATAATTATATGGTTCAGCTAAATGACAAATTATATGCCTTTGCCCACTTTGGAACTATCAAATCTACATATAAACTGCTGGTCAATTTGTTGTAGTGGTCTTATCCTTTATCTGAACTGTTGTTTAGTGGCGTTTGAAGCTTGCATTTTTGGCCAAGTTTCTTAAAAGATTATATCTGAAGCATTCCTTTATTGTCATACGGTACCAGTACCTTTCTCTAGTTAAAGCATAATCATCTCTGGCGAACTGCAAATCTGAGATCCGTTGCGATTTTAGCTTACTTTTTTAGGTTGTATGCATGATTGACACTGAATCTTTTGACCTGAGACACTTCTATATTCCTATATTGTTTAATATGAGATACTGATCGATCGCTAAACCAGGTTTTTGCTTGCGCAAACAATGACCGGGAAGCTATAATAAAGTTGTCTCAGAGGCTTGGTTTCCTCACAGGAGAAGAATCTGAAATAATGATGGAGACACATGTCCAGGCAGGTTTTGTTGTGGGGTTGCCATTTTCAAAGCTTGGAGGCTATGATTTTCGAGCTAACAATATTACCCAAAGCATTTCAAATCTAGGCGCTACAATGCTGAGGCACAGGCTGACACCGCCACCTGAGGAAGCTTATAGTCTTCACCGTAAACTTTCTGGAGCTTTCCTTGCTTGCATAAAGCTCGGGGCTGTTGTGCCGTGCAGGGAGCTCTTACTTGAAGTGTACGAGAAATATGAATTTGGCGAATATGGTAACGAAAAATTGGCAAGTGGATCAGGGTGATGATGGAGATCCTTCTTCCGCATTGTAACTTGTCCTGCGGGTTCAAGAATGAGGCAGAGAGTCCTTAAGAACGAGAAAGTCGACTAACATGGTTTGGAATGCAATTGAATGGCAGTGCCTGCAGCTCTATTTGTGATCGCATTGGCTATGCCTCCATTTAGTGCAGTCTATTTTTACACAAAGTCATGAGTGACATACATCGATTTATGGTCCTTCCAGCACAACTTGCTGAAGTTCTGTTCCTGCTTTTCAGGAACTGAGGAAATCTTTTTCTGAATAATACAATTTGAAAGGGGAACATATACAAATGTGAGGTCTATGGAGTTGCTATAGGAAACTTTTAAGAGAATAAGATTGAAAATGTGCTGTGTAATTTTAGGCATATCTATCTTCAGTAAAAGCGCTATCTTCAGTAAAAGCGCTGTTAATTGAATTTGCACGTAAAACATAAAGTAGTGTGAGATTCTGTTTAGTTTCTTAAATATATACACTCTCCGTTCACTTTTACTTGACATGTATACTAAAAATATATTTTTATTTTTACTTGTCACTTTACGCATATCAAAGAGAAGACAAATTTTTTTCCTTATATACCCATAGTATTTATTAGTCATTTCAAATCATTTTCTCAAATCCAATACAATATGCATCAATTAATATGGGTATCATGGTAAATTATGCACTTCATTTATTATTTCTTAAGGGGCTTGAAAAGTCAAAACGTGCCAAGTAAAAGTGAATGGAGGGAGAAGTATATAGTATATAATTTAACTTTGTTTTACAATAATACAGAAGCTATGCCTAGATACTCCAACTCTTATATGGTTTTACTAGTTTTTCGGCACACGCGTTGCGTGTGTATCCCGTCTCAATAAATGCAATGGTTATTAAAAAAATTACATAAATATAATAGAGAAAATCTCACTTTATACCCATTAATCCTAAGCTATTTACCCTTTAATGTCCAGGCCCAAACTATTTACCCGATTTTTCCCTTTTCTCGTTTTCTTCCTCTTCACAGAGGCATCTGAAAGTACCCAATTTTTTCCTTTTCTCGTTTTCTTCTTCTTCTTCACAGAGGCATATGAAAGTACCCGGTTTTTTCCTTTTCTCGTTTTCTTCTTCTTCACATAGGCATTTGAAAGTACAGTGAAACAAAAAAAACCAAGAAATAGCAAAGAAAGGTAGCCATGGATGTGGAAGAAGGAACACAATAACCCGAGCTAGTTCTTGCACACAAACTCTTCCTTTTGACACACCCAGATGTCAATGACTTGGACAAAGTTTGCCTCCGTGAAGAAGACTTGGACAAACTCTTCCATTTCCCTTATATCATTCTTCAAAAAGAAATTAGATCTAATTATTTTAAGGATTTCTTGTTTGATTCAAAGTGGGTGTTGTTAAATATTGCTTATAGTACCTTCTGGAAGTTCATACTGAAATTTGATAGCATTTGGAACTGATTTGAGGTGATTGAGATCGAAATTTTCAGTTGAAAATCGAAGAAGAACACAACTACAATATACCGCTACGGTATACAATATGCTGTAGGAGTATATAGCTATATTGCAACACTATACTATTATACTTCATAAAACAGTATACCTGATCACGCCCAACTATGCCTTATAAAAAGGACTCTGCGGATGTTGCAAATATAACCCGAGTATTACGCCCAGGGTCGAATCCACAGAGAGTTAACCTATCAACCACTATCTTCAGACCCACTAATTCTTCAGAACCAGCTTCCCAAATATTCAAATCTCAGTTGAATGTTCTTTAACAACTACACTTGCAAGTAACTAAATGGCTGTAAACTAAACTAATAAGGTTGTAAACAATTATGATAAAAAGCTAAGGCAATGATTTCCCCTATTGATGGAATCCCTTCTGTTTATGCTCATACAAATTTACCAACACATCTCTATCAATCATGAACGCTAATCTTACNAATTATAGTATGCTATATGATGTAATGGTATACTCTTACAATTAGGTCCTTTTAGAATTTTTAATTTTTTTTTTGACAACTGATATTATTTAAGTTTAATAATTGAATTAAATTTTTTTTAACTCTTTAGGTACAATTGTATACCCTGTTGGTATAACTATATACTATACCGGTATCTTATGTTAGTTAATATTTTTTTGGTTGTATTAACTACATTTAATTGGTACACAATTTGATTTTTCTTTACTAATAATATAAAAAAAAGAATAATAAAAAATAGTGAAAACAGTAAATGAAATTAGATTATGAAGAGAAAAAGAATATAAAAAAACAGATGTTAAATAAAATTAGAAAAGGAAAAAAGAAAAAAAAAATAAGAAGAAAACGAGAAAAAAAAAAGAAAAAAGAAAAGAAAAGAAGCATAGAATTAAAAAAGACTTGGAGAATAAAGAAAAAATTCTCCACAAAACCTACTATGAGTAGGAAATGTAATTAGTTTATGGGTATGAAAACAAATGGGTAGACAAGAGTAAATAGTTTTGTTTTTGTAGGTAACTGTGTCAAAACCCCAATATAATATTAAAAGTTGTATTGGAGTTATAAAGTAAAAGTTGAAAACAAAAATATAAGTACAAGAAAATGATGATTGTTGATTCTTATTTAGCCAATCCAATACTATCGGATAAGCCTTCAATCATCTCAATCTATACATTCAACTTAAAATTTGTTCAAGATTTATAATTTCACTATTTCAATTTGACAAGTTACTATTCTTTCTTTTTAGCTTTAGCAAGAACAAATAACCCATAAAGATTTAGGTATTTGTTTGAATTGTCCTAGAAAGCTATCTCTTTTTAAAAAATGATCAGGTAACGACAAAAGATATCTTTAATTTTCCTCACCAGTGAAATACACAAAATGAAAATTGTCATATATCTTTAATCTATAAGAAATACTATAAGAATTATTTCTAACATATAAGAAAAGAATAAAGCAGTATCTAAAATATAAATTATAACCACTACATTTTGATTAATTTACTTTGTTTTTTTTTAAAGGAATTTTTACTTCCTATAGCAAAGGTTGATACTTTATTTATTTTAAATAAATACTATTTTAAAAAAATTATATTCCATAGCTACCTTTTGATTTTTATAGCCAAATATTTATTTATGGTCATCTCCTACCCTTAAGCCATAAAATACGCTTTGTATTATTTTTCTCTCTCATTCTTTCAGATTTTTCTCCACCTTCTCTCTCTCAAAGCCAGTTTTCTCCATGAATACAAACTCATGGATTCTCTCTCATCAGTTCCTCCGTCGATCGTTCTTCCGAGTAGTCAACAGGAATTTTCTGGGACTTTAACTTCTTGACAACTTTCATGGCTTTCTTAGCCAAAAACTTAGCAATTTCTTCTTCAGCGATCATTCTGGTTTTCTTCTTCTTTCTCTCATCGGTGCTGATGGAATCATGGTCGGAATCCGATGGATCGTCGGAAAATCGTCGGCGAAAAACTTAGCAATTTCTTCAGCAGCGATCTTTCTCATTTTCTTCTTCTTTCTCTCATCGCTGCTGATGGAATCATGGTCAGAATCCGATGGGCCGTCGGAAAATCGTCGGCGAAAAATAGGTCGTCTGAAGTTTGGGGTTGAGCAACTTGAAGATTCTGTTACCTTTTTTTAAGTGTATTTCAATGTATCTCGCTGTATTTCTATGTATTTCATTGTATTCATTGTATTTTTTTTCTTTGTATTTCAATGTATCTCGCTGTATTCCATGTATTTCATTGTATTCACTGCCTCGTTGTATTCCATGAATGTATTCATATGTTTTTCTTAATTAATATAATTTATGTATTCAGATGTATATATGTATTCAAATACAAATTTTGTGTGTTATAATTGAGTTTGAGTTATATTAGGAGTCTATTGTAATGACCCGGCCGGTCGTTTCATGAGTTACCGCTCCGTTTTCCCCCATTTTTGCTTCTTAATGTGTTGTTCAGTTGTATTATGTGGTCTCAGGTTGGTTGGTTCGGGTTCGGAGTGGTTTAGTAGAGAAATGAGACACTTAGTCTCTTTTGAGTAAGCTTAAGTTGGAAAAGTCAACCGGATGTTGACTAATGTGAAAAAGGTCTCGGATGTGAATTTCGATGGTTCGGATAGCTTCGTTAGGTGATTTGGGACTTAGGAGCATGATCGGAATGTATTTTGGAGGTCCGTGGTAGATTTAGGCTTGAATTGGCGAAATTGGAATTTTGGCATTTTCCGGTTGGTAGTGAAAATTTTGATATCGGGGTCGGAATAGAATTTCAGAAATTGGAGTAGGTCTGTTGTGTCATTTGTGACTTGTGTGCAAAATTTCAGGTCATTCGGATGTGGTTTGATAGACTTTTTGATCGTTTGTGGAATTCGGAAGTTTTGAAATCCTTAGGCTTGAATCCGAGGGTGTTTTGATGATTCGATGTTGTTTTGCGTGTTCCGAAGATTGGTACAAGTTTGAATAGTGGTATATGAGCTATTCATACTTTTGGTTGAGGTCCCGGGGGCCTCAGGATGATTTCGGATGGTTATCGGAAAGTTTGGAAGTTAGAGTTGCAGCTGAAGCTGCTGTGTTTCTGTCATAACCACACCTGCGGATTGGGGACCGCAGGTGCGAGCCGCAGAAACGGCATTTCTATCGCAGGAGCGAAGGCCAGTGATTGGGGATGCATCGCAGATGCGGAAGGTTAGTCGCACTTGCGAGCCCGCAGGTGCGTAGGCTTGATCGCAGGTGCGGATGGGAAGTTTAAGTGAAATTCCTCAGATGCGGACCTTTTGTCGCAGGTGCGGTATTGGACCGCAGATGCGGAACCCCTGGGCAGAACATATAAATTCTTGCCTTCGCGATTTTCAGCTTTTTTCTCACCATTTCTGAGCGACTTTGAAGCTTTTTGAGAGAGATTGAAGAGGGATTTGAAGGAAAATACTTGGAGGTAATGTTTTTGAACTCAACATTCGATTCTATGGCGATTTCTAACTAATTAGACATGAGATTAATGGGATTTAAAGCCTAAAATTTGAGAATTTGGGGTCTGATTTTGATGTTCTTGATATGTATAGACTCGTGGGAGGATAAGGATTCTAGTGGTGTGATTTTTATCAAATTTTGAGACGTGGGCCTGGGGGTCGGGTTTGGCCAATTTCAGGATCTTCGATGTAATTTGAATATTTTCGCGTGGGCTTTGTTCCTTTAGCCTATTTTGATATTATGATTCTGATTTTGGATAGATTCGGGGGCGAGTTGAGGCCGATTCGAGAGTCAAAGGCTAGAGTTTGGACCGGTTTGAGGTAAGTAATGATTGTAAATGTTGTCCTGAGGGTATGAAACCCCGAATTTCACATTGTTGTGCTATTTTGAGGTGACGCACACATTAGATGTCGAGCGTGGGGTCGTGCACCGTTGGGGATTGTGACTTGGTCCATCCCGTACGACTATTAAGTCGCGTATTTAATTGGAAACTGTTTGATATTAGTATATTTTGGAAAGTATTA